GAGGCATCTCGCTCCTTCCCCTTCGTTTCGACAAAAATTACGTACGAAAGGATGTAGTAAAATTTTATTTTGACAAACAAAAACAAAAACATAAAAACATGAGATGATGAGATCATTACAACGTACACCAGCAAAACAAAACAATTTATCACAACTAAAGCACGTTTTTGTTCCTTACAAAAATACAGTTTATACTAAATACATCAGAAAACATAAAAATAAAATTGCTAAACTTTGTGCAAAACTCGGAAAAATGCAATAAATTTGCATACAAATTCGCAACTTTCTATTCAGACTTTTTTATAAAAATTTTCAAAATGAAGTTTTGCAGCCCATAAAAATTTAGTTGATTCTTGGTATTGTTTTTACTGAGAGTTTCTTCCATACACACTATGTTCGACATTTTTTTGTATGTGAAAGACACTGTCAGCAAAAAATAAATAATTGCAAAAAATCAACGAAATTATCTGGTAACTTTAGACTTGCACTTTACTAATTGGCTCAAAAGCTACATTTTCAAAATTTTTTCTAAAATATCTGATTAGAAATTGTGATCAGATGAAAGAGTCTCCGAGCCAATAATTTTGTACGGCACGGTACTTATAAGTAATCTAGGTTTCACCAAAGAAAAAAAAATTAAATAGAAGGTAACATTAAAATATCAGTCATTTGTTTCGTTGCTGTGAACTTGTTTCAAAACTTCTGGCTTTTGCTTAATATAATTGTAAAACTCTGTGCATGTCATTTTAAGGTATTTAGGTACATACTTATATTAATCATCAACTATTGCTTGTGCAAAACGTGTTAAATTAAAAAAAAAAAAATCGCATATTAAAGAGCACCAACCCAACTCGTAATAAATTTAAGTATACAAATTTTAGTATTTAGTATAGAATTATTCAGTTGAAATACGCCAATATTAAAATGAAGCGCTTCGCACTTAACGGATGCTTTTTCATAATTAAGTTAAAAAAAAAATATTTAAATTCCATGCTGCCTGTAATGGGATTTGAACCCTGACGCTCTGGAAATTAGCAAATTGTGGCAAGCATCTTCGTGCACTCAGCTACTGCCAGACATGTAAATGTGCATTCAAATGTTCAGTTTGATTCAACACCACGTGTACGTGGTATGAAAGTATTGTTTTTAAATACTATGCGTTATTTCCCCCAGTAAATTCATAAAATTATTCTTAATATTGCACGCGTTTTATTTCTCAGTGTAGTCATTTTTATGCAAAATTTGTGCAAACAAATCGAGCACTTAAACGAAACCCGGGACACTTTAAGGTTGGACCGGGACACCGGGACAAATAGTCCAAAACCGGGACATGTCCGGGAAAACCGGGACGTCTTGCAGCCCTAGTAGTGAGGGATTTAAACATTTCGAATGTCAAAAGAGAGCTACAATTCTGTGAGGCCTGTGCGTACAGTAAGCAACATAGAAATTCCTATCCCAAATGCGGTGCTAAACGCGCTGATAAGCCCGGTGACACTTTTCATATGGACCATTGTGGCAAAATGAGTAGCCCATCAATTGGCGGCTCCAACTACTTTCTCCTCTTAAATGACGATTACTCGCGATACTGTTTTGTTTACTTTTTAAAAAACAAACTGATGTTCTAAACAAACTGATGCAGTTTCTGGCGGATGTGTAAGCGGACGGGCATAGAATAAAGCGTATACGGTCTGACGGTTTCCTTGAATTTTGCAATGAGGAAGTAAATTGTCTGCTGTTAGAAAACAAAATAAAGCTTGAGGTAACCATCCCAAGAGCGCCTGAGCAAAACGGGTTTATAGAGCGAGAAAACATAACTGTTGTGGAGAGTGCGAAAGCAATGCTTCATAACAGACAATTACCATTATACTTGTGGGCTGATGCAACGCATACTACAGTTTACGTAAAAAATAGAACGGCTTCTGATGTAATTGATGGGTGTACTCCATGTGAGAAATGGTATGGCAAAAAGGCGTCTATAGGACATATACGCGTTTTTGGCTGCGATGCATACATCCATATTCCCAAAGAGCAGCGTACAAAGTAGGACAAGAGTTCGATTAAAGGCATTTTAGTCGGTTATAACGAAGATAGCAAGGCGTACCGAGTTTTCGATCCAACTAACAGAAGAGTGCTTATTCGACGTGACGTCATATTCAACGAAAAACGTACTGTAGTCAATGAATTTTACGAAACTAAACAACGCAGAAATGAAGACACTGAGACACCAGTGGAAAAAATGGAGGACTCACAAACGCAGACTAATTTGCAATCACGCAGCCCCTATGCATTAAGAAGCGCATCAAAAACACAAAAGGCGGCTGAAGGAACTGTTGCTGAATTGTGTGTAGCATGCGTTGAGCCGTCAACACTAGAGGAAGCAATGTCAAGTGATGATTCTGACAAGTGGACGGAGGCGATAAATGAGGAAATGCAGACTCTTCAGAAGAACCAAACATGGGTTTTGGTTCCACGAACAAGCGAAATGCATGTTATTACTAATTGCTGGATTTGTAAAAAGAAATTCAATTCGCATGGCGAAGTCGAAAAATATAAAGCTCGTTTAGTCGTAAAGGGATGCTCTCAAACACAAGGTGTTGACTACGGAGAAATCTACGCACCTGTCGTCAGGTATGAATCTGTCAGGGCGGTACTTAGTATAGCTGCGGCGAATTCAGCGTACATGCATAATTGGCTAGGTATGTATGTATTTATATGTATGTATGCAGATATTTAAATGCCGGTTTGCTATTCGCGCGACAAGCTTTTTTAAAAACGAAGTAAATTAGTACAAATTGTTAGTAATTTTCATTAGAGTTTGAATAACTCCTTTCACTAAATGGCTTTTAGTAACTTTAACGAGACCTTAACTTAT